TCCTATGACCAGGAGGCCGGCCCTCAGCCAAGCGGGTTAAGCCAAATATCACCTCCATAATAATTCATTACACTTCGATCTTGGGCGTTGTCATTCCTAGTGAACCTTTAACATTGATGGGTAATGTTGACTAAGGTGAGTTGCTGTAAAAAGCACAAAGGCTATATTCAATTGGAATGCAACCTAATTTATATTTCATTTTTACATTACCCTGCTTTAACTTAGTTAATAACTCACATTTGTAGCAGACACTAATTTAAGAATTTATAGAAATGCTTTGTCTTCTTCCTGACACTGCACTGTCAGTGATCATCAGTACTGTATTTTCTAATTACAGTATGTATCCATGTCTGCAGACTGATAGCATCTCAAGAGAAGCTCAGATCCGTGGCTTCACAAACTGTAGTGAAGATCATGAGGACTTTAGGCACCTTTACATTTTACACACTACAGGATAAAGCACTTTAAATACCTAATTGACATTCCCCACTCAGCCATAGTCTCTCCCCTTAAAAAGGAAAGTTTGTGAGTGTGTAGGCTATAAGCTGATTTGAAAGCCATATACTTTATGAAAGTAGCAGTTGCCATTTTTCAGGCACTTGAAAGAAGCCATCAGGATTCTGACCTGATAGTTTATACTCCTATAGCAAGAATGAAACTGGATGGAGAATCCCCAGACTTGTACTGAATGACACTGAAGGTGGCCAGACAAATTTGAATTACCAGAATCTTCACTTGAGGTACCTGCCACTCAGAGCAGGCATAGCCATTAAAGCAGTAATGTCTGCAAGCCCCGTGATGAGGAAAACAAGATGAATTCCAACAGTAGAAATATGTCTGTATATAGTGCAGAATAAATCACGCACGGAACAGATGTCTCCCCAAGGATACAAGGAATTCCTCCATTACAAATTGAGTTTTTTTTTCCTTTAAAATAAAAAATGGCACATCAAACAGACACACTACACACTTCTAGTTTCTTCATGTCATTTTGAAAGTGAAAAACTGCTAACTTCTCGGATGAGCTAAATATTCTTATGTTCTAACTGATGTGGTGATAGTATATCCTGCTTCCGCATTGTAGTAAAGAACTATTCATTCTTTCCTGAAGATAGTCAGATAGTCCATTAAGTCTTAAGTTCTTTCCATTTAATTTAAGCCATGCACAAACTATTTCTGAAAGATTTTTCTTAAATTTATGTAAGAAAGCATGCTATTTGCCAAAAACATATATCCTAGTGATTAAAGCAGCAAATGCAGTACCTTCATCTTCTTATGAAATTGAATTTTAATGTAATTGATTTTGTCACTGAAAAGTTAGTTATCTCACAAGGATTAGTGTATGCCATTGGAAAGTAATTGTGCATAGATCATGATCAGGTTTCTTCAGTCTTAACATCAAGAAAATATATGCAGAGTTCTTGGTGACAGTTTCTAATTAACACACATGGGAACAGAATATAAAATATTTAAGAAAACTTAACTTTTGTTTCCAGCAAGTATCAAGACAGTTATCTCAAAGCTTCACAAGCTCTTTTTCCTTAAGGACATTGGTTATTTAAGTTTTCCTCAACAAACTGATAACATTTCTCTTGCATGTTTTACTCTCTTGCAAAAACAAATTCCTCTGAAACATTGTTGTATTATTAATGGCATGATTCCAGGGTCACATTAGAAACTAAAATACATCAACTGCATCAGAACTGTTTTCATACCAAAATAGTTTTCATTTTCTTCTTATTTACAGATAGTTAATATTTAGACAAAAACAGGAATGTTGATTGTCAGGAAGAGGGAAGGAGAGAAAATTGATTACACTGCTCACATTAATCTCTGTTCTTTTCCGATCTACATTTTTAATAACATACAAGCACCTGTTTCTCTGTTGGCTTGGCAAATACACCCACTCTTGTCTCCATCTGTTTTTAAGTAACTGTTGATGGCCTGGGGTTTATGATGGTAATTCTTTAAAAATGACGTGGGCGTTCACTCCACTAGATTCATTATCACTGCATGCCAAAGGGATCATTGCACCTCAATGTTTTGCAGAGTTCCACTTTCAGCAGTGCAAAATAAAAGCATTTATTTTCCTTTTCTTTTAGCAGGCCTTCTGAGTGCTGGAAGATACAGATAATGGATAATGGATATGTGATTTCTTGAGCAGGTTGTTAATTAACTCTATATATGAAGTGTCAGGTACTGTACATAATTAGGAAAGCTGGACATCTTTGCAGTCTAATCTGGCTTGCTGGTTTATTTTGTCTAAGATATGAAACCTACTTGGATTTCAACAGACTGATGTTTTCTTCAGTGCTTTTCTGAGTGCTTTGTTTAAAGCTATATTGGTTTCTAATAAAATATATTCATTCTTTGGTGAATGCAGAATTGAGTCACTTATGACAGGACCGCCTGTTTTGGGTGACCTAAAGAAGGCTCCATAGCCGAAACGTTGTGTTTCTTTTTAGCACGATAATATTACAACTTACAAATTACATTTTACAACAGAGACATAGAAACATTGATGGAAGCAAAATGTCCTTGTAATCTAAAAATTATTCAAATAAAAATCCTCCAATAAGTGTTTTTGGAAAGTCATGAAAATATCATTGCATAATCCACAGTAGAAAGAAGATGCTTGGTAGAATCCTCTACAAATTCCAGTAGTCTGAGATTCTAAAAAATTGTTTTTTACTATACCTACAACTCTGCAAGAATCTGTAGTGCATTTACAGAACAGCTGTAATAATTCCTGAGTCAAGGTATACAACATTATCAAAACGCTGGAAGAGGATAAGTACAGTATGTCCCTCTCCATCTATTCATGCATTATCCAGGGGACTTTATGTAGACTGAGCTCTGGGAACGGTACGAAAAAGCACGGTACTCTCCAAGCCTCAAGGCACTTACTGAGCCACTTCTCAAGGCCATTCTGCAACACATCAAAGATCTCACTCAGACTATGAAGCAAACACAAAATATATGCCTAATAATCACTTTAACTGAGAGGTATAAGAAGACCATATCAGTATTCTTGTTTTTGTTGGGTGCTAATCACTAGCCCAAGCCAAAATTGTTATTTTAAAAGAAAAAAAAGGGTTTTAAAAGGTTCAGAGCATTTGGGGATTGTGCTGTTAAATTCCTTAAACATGAATCCCTTGTTTTGATTTCAACACAAAAAAAGTGCTGTATCCATGTACTGAATATGAATGAACAGTTTGTTTTAACTGTACCCTAATTTCAGGACATACACACAATTTATGTACAAAAATATGGAGTAAGTCACAGAAGGTAGATAGGAATTTGCACAAGTGATTTTTATTAAAAAACTGTTCCCTTGTGGCATTATAAGAAGTTAATATCTTATATAATAGGGATTTCACTGAGCTTCCTCTGTACTTTGAAGCTACTCATAAATGTAACTGTGGACATGTGAAAAGATCTGGTTCACATTTTTTGAAATGTTGGAAATGTTTTTTTGTTCTGTGTTCAGTAACATGCCAAATAATTTTAATATGTTAAGAGCAAATTCCAGGTGAGTTTATGATTAGTTACTATTTTATGTTCTCCATACTTCTGGGATAAACTCAACATCACGGCCGAAACGTTGTGTTCTCTTTCTTCTTTTTTTCAGCATGGAATAAACCTATGACAACATTTTGCAGCACAGGCGAGCTGAAGGAGTTAGTTGTCTGGGAAAGAAAAGAAACAAGGAAACTAGCATTCTGCTGCCATCTTGTGGTAATTATTATTATACAATCCTGATTTAATTTTAGTTTTGGGCAGTGTGCACATTTTTACATTGTGTACAGAGAACGTCTGGCTAATACAAGAAGGAAGGAAAAGGGACATGCTGGACAAGAAAATAGAAAAGTACAAATTATAACAAGCTAGGCACAACGAGCTATAATATATATATATAATATATAATATATTGTATAACATATAATATATAATATGGCAAAGTCAAATTGACCAAAATAATTATACAGAATGGCAATTATTGAAATTAGAAATGATTGAAGTGTTTCATAGCAGGTCAGCCTTCCACAAGCCAATGTTCAGCATTTTAAACACACATTAAATATTAATAGCATGCTTTAAAACAGAAGAGACACTTCTTGTGGAGCTAAGAGTCATGCTCAACAACTTACTTCTAAGGGGCGGATCTGGATGTAACAACAGTCCAGAAGGCACTGCGACTTGTCAGTAAATTGCCTGACATAATGAGAGCAACTTCATGATGGGGATTTGTAGATCTACCAACAAAACCATGCATCTCGCCATAAAGCTGGTAGTGTCACACAATGGTTAATGTGTTTGAAAAAACTGTTGTGAACAATCCTGCTAAGGACCCTGAGGCACACATCTGGAATGTGTTGGAAGTGTGAATTAGGGGAAGTCCACAGAGACCAGCACCTCTTGCTGTTCCAGAAGGAGAAATAACAATAGTTCTACTGCTATTCATTAAATGTTAGTATATAATGTTGTTATAAAACTGTAACAGTAATTAAGGTCTTTGGGACTTGGTACATTGTGAATAGCTTACATTTTTTAGTGTGTGGTTCTGATAGATGTCAATAATATAGTGAAACACTGAGGTACCACTGCAATAATAATAAGCTAAAATATGAAACACATTCATTTCTCCCCATCCACATCTGTGATCCTGCAGTTAGTATTCTTAGAACGTTATTCTTCATTGACAGTGGCTGCAAAAATTGGTTGTGGTATATGTTGAAAGACCATTTCAGGACTGCCTAATAACTCATCGGGGAAGAAACATTGATTGCTTCGTTTTTTACATGAAGTAGATGAATCTGTGCTAGGCTTTCATTAATTAAATAGACCCTTTAATTAATTGACTGTATGGTTAATAAATAAGCTTGATATTATAAAGCTGACGAGAATTTGCATGCTAACTTTGCACCCTAAACAACATTTGAAAGCAGCGGAAACGGAGCCTGGTCCCTTTAAGTGATGTGCACGTCGGCACCGGAAGTTGTTGTTGGGCTCCTGCTTAAGCTGAACCATTGAGAGAAAGCAATGATGGAGAGAAATCAGGATGAGAAGGCAAAGTATTTAAACATGTGGCAGAAATAGATGTTCTGGATAAATATACCAGCAGCATCGAAAGTGAGCAACAAAAATAATCCACTTTAATGTGGTTCGGAGTATAGTGTGGCAACCTGTCGATTAAGTGTGATTTCAGTTAGACTCACATTTAACGAAGAGTAAAGGTAATAAACTTAAAATATAAGTTCATTATATTTTGACGTATGTAAACCGAATCTGATCAGAAATGCTTGTCAGATATAGTGATTTAATAAAGTGTATTCAACTTATCAGTGTCTTAAATAAATAAGAATTCAGTGAGGTACATGAACAAGCGACTAGCAATAGCTAACTATTAAAGAGTGGAAATTTTGTATTGCTTTGTAGCGTGCTTTCAGTCCCTTACAATTGCACATTGATGATCCGTGAGTTTCAGATGGCGACGTGAATTTGAGAAGAGTAAATGACTGCAGTTGTTTTGGAGTAACACTTGAGGTGGAGAGTCGGTTCTCAGTCACGTGCTGGTGATGGATACCTGGAAGCCGAATCCGCGGGCCAAGCCTTTCATCCCCCGCCAGCAGCGCAGCCTCTACCTCACCTGGAAGTACAAACTGACCAACAAGAGAGCCGTTCGACGGCTCTGCCAGGTAAATTAGTCCTCTATGGTCTGATTTTTAAAATATTTTTGTGGTAAAAAAAACAGTAAGAAGTGCTCATACAGGACAGGCTACTATTGACAACTGTCTCATTGGGAGATACATTCTCACCAATGTGTGCACCTCGGTTTTGCAGTCTGAAGTCTTTGCCTGCTAAAAATCTTCAGAGTTCTTTAACTTTTTTTTTCTGATTGGACTTCAAAGAGGGAAAAAGGGACATTGAAACTATCATTAGTGCAATTTACCAAGCAGAAAGCTCCTTGATTGTGTCAGGAACTCTACATTTAAGCTCCTCTCAGCAAGATTTGTTTATAGTACAATCCACAGAAGGCCAGCTGTCTGAGCTGTGAAGTAATGATCATGTTTCTAACAACCCCTACTTTGGACCAATAAGATGCTTGATCACATCTCTGTGCTGTATTGTGCTTCTCCTTCTCAGACAGGTGCGGTGGTGTTCTTGCTGGTAACAGTGATCATCAATATTAAGCTCATATTGGACACCCGGAGAGCTGCAATAGAGGAGGAAGCAGTGCAAGAATATGGTGAATATGATACATTCCCTTGCAGGAGAGATTTGCTACCATAACCAATGCTGAAAGAACAACCTTCTCAATTTACTTCCACAGCTTTTCTTAGGGTCTTTTCAATTACTGCTCCTGTAACTGAGTCAAGTGTGATGTATTAGTACTTTAACAATTTTGATTATACCTAAACTGTATATTATAAATACGTATTAAGTCTGTTGTCTTAAACTGTTCTAATATGTCTGTGATTAAGTTGAGTTTTTAATTACATTGCTGATCAATTTAAGTTTTTTATTTGAGATATATGTCATATAATATGATAAAACCTCATCTGTTTCAAGGTTCCTCTGGAACAGTGAGCAGTGGTGTCAGCTTACCCCAGTAATAATATAGAGCACACACAGCATGGAATTAAGATGGGTTGTGTTCTGAAAATAACTGAAATGTATAGTATACAATATCAGTACAATATCAACTGTGAATGTGGCTCAGTACATAATCCATCTAAGCAAGCAAACAGATTAAGTAATCAAATAGCACTGGAGATTTAGAGCTCAGCTAGAAAGTAAACCACCAGCCCAGTTATCCTCCAGGACTGGCTGTTGGAACCATTTCTCTAGACCTACACTCACACCTAATTTTTTTGTGTCACCTAATGTTGTGTCTTTTATTGTTTGATTATGGAAGTTTGTGAAGTTTCATTTGGATGTATTGCTGTATTGCTGTACATTATGTAGTTCTTACACTGTAAAATTCATCATCAGCTACAGAAATATTGTCTAGAACAATGACAAGATGTGTAAAGTAATGGCAACACCTTGAGTTAAGAGAATACCGTTGTTTCAAAGATGAAGCCCTGTCCAATATGGAGACCCCTCGGCGACCTCCCAGTGGCAGGAAGGTCCTGGATATTGAGGTGTATTCCAGCCGCTCCAAGGTCTACGTGGCAGTGGATGGCACCACTGTGAGTCTGCTCCTCCTGTAACTCTGTCTTGCCCACTTGGCAGCAATATCATCCTGCAGCTCACCCTGACAACCCGCTGAAGCTCAGCAGGTGTGAGCCTGGTCAGTGTCTGGATGGAAAGCCTTCTGGGAAAAACTAAGGTGGCTGCTGGAAGAGGTGTTAGTGGTGCCAGCAGGGGACACTCACCCTGCAGTCTGTGTGGGTTGTAATGCCCCCAATATAGTGATAGGGACACTATGCTATTAAAAAGGCACCGTCCTTCAGATGATGCATAAAACCGAGGTCCTGACTCTCCGTGGTCATTAAAATCCCAAAGTGTTTCTCAACCAGAGTAGGGGTGTTACCCTGGTGTCCTGGCCAATTTGCTCCCCTGGCCTTTATCAATCATGGCCTCCTAATAATCCCCATCTGTCAATTGGGTTTGTTACTCTGTTCTGCTCCTCACTGATAGCAGATTTGTGCTGGGCGTTCTGGTGCACTTTAGCTGCCGTTGCATCATCCAAGTGGGGCTGCACATTGGTGGTGGTGGAGGGGAGTCCCCTTGACCTGTAAAATACTTGGTGTGTCCAAAAAAAAATATTATTACACTTGGATCTGTGCTTTCACTCTTGCTCACTCTCAGTATAATCTGGTGGTCTCTGCCTATTCATTTTCTTTATTCCCATCATGATAAATAATCAGCTAAAAGACTGAGAAAGGGAAGTTAGAAACTTTTTGGGAAATAAATTTGTAATTGCAAACAATTTTTTATTTATATTTGTGCACAGAGAACATTTTTGTCTGAATTCTTGTGTTAGACTCTTGCGCTATATTGAATCCCATACTCCTGTTATCCTTCAAGCCAAGAAAGTCAAAGGGGTTTGCATTTGCACAATCTGTCTGATTCACAGCACCAACACCACATTATGGGTCATTATGGTCACAATTGACTAATGCCATAGATTTGACATATAATGTCTGGATTTTAATGTTCAGCCTGGGCTTTGAACAAGTCCATAAATGGACAACATTCTGTATACTTCTGGGTCTCTTTTATTTTTGGACCTGATATGATCATTATTACCTGATGTGGTGAAATATATATTTTCCATAACTTTTAATAGTGTCTATTGTCTTTTTCTGCTTTGTTCTTTCTCTCAGGTCCTGGAGGATGAAATGCGAGAGCAAGGCAGAGGAATCCATGTGATAGTTCTTAATCAAGCCACTGTAAGCATCATAATGTTACATGTAGAACATACTGTATTGTAATAATAAACATATCATATTGGCTTGTTCAGTGCTGTTGGCATTAAAAATGACCACAGGAGCATCGTTAAAGACTTTCTTGACCTACTGTATAATTGTAGGCAGTGCTTACCAGGCTATATCAACTCATACCTATTTCAACCTGATATTTTATAGTGGAACATAAATTAAATGTGAGTTGAAGTAGATTGAGTACTAAAATGCATTACTAATGGTAAAACGTAAAAGGCAGATTTGTCTTATTATTGACATAGTCAACCCACCGGTCTACTGATTTTCAGTGCATCACTAAACACTATATTTTTGTATTTGTCATGCATAATCCCAGAAAACAGTTGTAAAATAAATAAAATACAAATGTGTATCTGATGTGCAGGGACATGTGATGGCAAAGCGTGTATTTGATACCTATTCTCCCCATGAAGATGAAGCAATGATCCTCTTCCTGAACATGGTGACTCGTGGGAGAGTGCTCATCTTCACCATTAAGGTGGGTAAAGTCATTCTGTACCATTTCAGCCCTAATATGACTTATGTGGGTTATAGACTAAATAGATTTCAGCAGAGAATTCTTAGTGTCTGAGTTACCCTGTGTTCTTTCAGAGAATTATATACTGTAGTTACTATATCTAAATGAACTGTCGCAATTAAAGCTTAATCAGAAAAATATTCAAAAATGTATTAATTTGGAAATTGACAAAACATAGGGTTTATTGAAACAAGACCTTTATTTGCCTCCATCTTAGGATAAATATGTCTGTACTTTCTCACCAAAATTATTTTTTGAGGTTCTGCATTCATCCTATATGTTTTAAGTGTCATACAGTATACATTGTATAGCAATGCTTGTAAAATTCTGTGAAAATATCTGATAGTGAGATAGTCTCCTCAAGTGCATTGTATCATTTGATGTCTAGTATTTGTCTTCTGTTCACTCAAACATAGGATGAAGGGTCTTTCCATTTAAAAGATGCTGCAAAGAACCTGTTGAAAGGGCTGGGCAGTCAGGTGTCCACCTCCCTGAGCTGGAGGGATATGTGGACTTTGGTTGTGAAGAAAGGAGGTAAGATGGGACCACTTCTGACAGAGCATGGTTTAGTATTCCTTCACAGTAGGTCAACAAGATTGCTGAAAAATACAAAGCCATGTTATTAATTTTGCAGGCCAAGTATATGGGGAGAAGCATTCCAAATCACCTGCTTTGTCAACGTGGGGAGACCCGGTGCTACTGAAGACGGAGGTGCAGTTAACAGCGTCCGAAGGTAATGCAGAATAAACATGGACTGCTGTTATTCATCTTTTCATTGTTTTCATCATGGAACAAGTTTTATCAAACACATATTTACTCTCAACAATGCTGGGAGACGCTTTGCTTATTTGAATTTCTCTTTTCTGTTCCCTGAAGATGCTGAATGCCACTGGCCTGATACCGAGCTGAACCGGCGAAGGAAACTTTTCTGTAGTAAAGTGGAAGGCTATGGCAGCATCTGCAGCTGTAAGGATCCAGCCCCCATTGAGTTCAACCCTGACCCAGTAAGACTTCACAACATAACTTTCTTTTAACATTGTGCAAGGAGGAGTGTTCGTAAGTACCATACAGTGAAACGACATGGACCAGAGGTGGACAGTGTTGTGAGCTGTAATTGTCATGGAAATATAACTATCAAGGTAGCCACAAGAGAGAGTTCTCACCAGAGTAAGGTCTTTATTTCAATATTGCAATATTGGGAGTCCTGCTGCCACTTCGCAAAGTGCAACCAGAGACTCAATTTGTTACAAGCAGTACAGGATTTTTATAAGACATTGCGCTGTAAAAAAGCTCAGCGCTTTGTCCCTTCTAAAACTTCCCCTTTCCCTAAAACAAAACAGATTACATCATAGAGCGAGAGAAGAAGCACTAGATTTGTTATTCAAAGCTTATCAGTTACTTTCAGCTAATTCTAACGACCCAGACAGCATATATTGTTTTGGTACATTGTCTTCTAAAGTTACCTAAACAGTGTACTTTGTTGACGCACTGTTTTCTAAAATTCTGCACGTACTGTAGCACAGCAATTACATCCTTGAAATATATTATCTAAAAGCACCAATATATTTTTTGCAAAGCTCTCTACATTTTAAGAATCAATTTACTTATTAGATTTCTACTTCATAGTATTGCATAGTATTCTGTTTTTTTGATCCTTCTGAGCTCTGGCGGTACTTTACAGATGCAATTACAAATGCAACGTGATGCTTCATTAGTCCAATTTTGCTATTTGTTTGCAGTGCAGCAAGCCTCCCTAGCCATGATATTAATGCACAGAAAATGCATAGCTTTTCCAATTTAGTGTTGCAAACCAATTCATTAATTAGTTTTTGATTTGCGACTTCATTTACATTGCTTGAGAAAAAATAATGATAATTTCTGCAGTTGCTTATTTTTGTGTAGATTTTCATTGTATTTCTGTGTACATTTCTCTGTAGTTACAAGATAATAAAGTATATAATGTTCCTGTGGCAGTAATTGCAGGAAACCGACCCAACTACCTCTACAGGTGAGAGAATTTGGACTGTAAAAGGTGAAGTGTTACTGATTTCTTTTTTTTTTGGTGCATTTGGTAAGATTTGAGCAATGCAAAAATTGAGTATTATAGATGTAGTTTTGTATGAGTGTGGATTTTACCTTAGCATCTTTACATATACTTTTGTCTTGTTTGGGAAACAAAATGATGCTAATAAAAATCAAGGATAAAAGCATTTATAAATTCTTTTACAAACAAAGGCAGTTTCTGTATGGATAGTTTGTCCTTCAGTCTAAATTATCCCTTGATTATGTTGAGCAGAAAAGTTAACGCTGCACCAAGACCTTTCTGCTCTTTACTGGTCTGTTTTTGCAGGCCTTAATTGAAGACCAGGCTTCAGTCAGCTGGAAAGAGCCTCCTCTTCTGCAGCACCATGATTGTATAACTTGCTGCCTGCATCCATTAGATATTCTGAGTACATTTCTTAAACTTAGAGGCCTAATTTTATACTTTATAAATATAGCACTTTTATACTTTTTTGTGATTTCCTGTGTTTTACCCATGTGCTTTGTTGTTTAAAAGTGCTATCATTACTTTCCTTTAGGATGCTCCGGTCCTTGCTGTCAGCTCATGGAGTCAATCCCCAGATGATCACAGTCTTTATTGATGGGTACTACGAGGTACATGGATCATATGTCTGCAAGAAAAATCCTACGCTGCTAAGAAACTGGAGACATCCAAGATGTACTAGGAACTTGGACCAAATAATAAAACCTATAATTGTTGCTTGTGAACTTCATAATTAAAGGCAGTTCAGTGGAAAGTCTCCATGGTTTAGTCATGAAGTATTTACTTCACAGTTAGAATTTTTTTTATAAACATACCCGTGTATCTTTTGTTTTGTTTTTTAGAAATATGTCCTTCCCTTCACAAGCCATTTTGTCAATGTTAACATATCGCTTGTTAACCCGACTTCTACACCTGAAAATAAGATGGCTTATGTTTGTATCAGAAACATTTTGTATGTTATGATTTTTTTTTACTTTTTGTGGATTTCCTGAAATCAAGTACTAAATAACGTACGTAGTTGGTAAGTTTTATTGTTATATGTAGTCTGCAAGGAGATTTCGAAGGTTCTCTTTCATTGCTTTGCCAGGAGCCCATGGATGTGGTGGATCTGTTTGGACTGAAGGGGGTTCAGCACACGCCTATCAGTATCAAGAATGCCAGAGTGTCCCAGGTAATCGTCACACCAGCACCAGGAGCTCAGGAGTTTTACTCAGGTTGCATCAATAGAAAGAGATGTGTTCTGCCTCTAGAGCAAACAGTTTGTCTTTAATAGATGTAGCTGATGATTTTTCGATACTGTATATGCTAGATACTCAGTATGGGGAGACACCCAAGCTTTCCTTTGTTATCCCTGATTCAGCTCTGTGGGGCCCTGTTTCTAAGTCATTTTAATCATGCTGTTTCCAACTCCACTCCTTTCTTGTGTTTGTCAAATAGCATTACAAAGCCAGCCTGACTGCAACATTCAACTTGCATCCAGTGAGTATTGTGGGAACCTTTTTCTCAAATATTCCAAGATTTAAATTTTTCTTTGTTAAAAGGCACGACTGTCTTATTTTTTCTGGTTCTTTCTAGGATGCCAACTTTGCAGTTGTCTTAGAAGAGGATCTCGACATCTCTATTGATTTCTTCAGGTAAGAGAAATTAAATTACACTCAAGCCTCACTAGATAATTATTTGACAGTTCATCATCGGCTCTCTTGTAAGAAGCATTCCATTTTAATGTTCTCTTAGTAAAACAGAACAGTTTTGCATGACTTCCAAAGCTGTAAGGTAGAGACTAGAATACAGGTTTAAAGCATAATCCAGAATCCAGTGGTCAACTTCATTGGTTAGTTATTACCATAATATATGACATAAAATCCACTAGATGGCAGCAGTGTCTGTGGAGAATATACTGCATACCTATTTTTATCGTGCTGTGATATATAGTTCTTAAATTATCTGTTACATGACCTGTCTGATAAAATCATTATTCTTACTACTGATGTACTGGTGTTAATTCTAGTTTCCTGAGTCAGACAATTCACCTGCTAGATGAGGATGAGAGTCTGTACTGTATCTCGGCCTGGAATGATCAGGTGAGTGAAAACGTGCACAATGAGACCGACCTGAGAGAACAGATCATTCAGGTTGTGGTGGAAGTGTTCAACAGATTCATGCTCTCAATGATTTTTATTTAATAGCTGTTACATATAATTTCAATTATTAATTTCAGAAGCTTTTCCCTAATGGCAAAGAACAACATTTATGCAAGACCGCGGAATTCAGTGCTTCTTTTCAGAACCTGTTTTAAAGTGGTTTTTGTCTTGTTTTAGTGTCTTGGATGGAAGAAAAATACTTGTTAAGGGGGCATTTCAACACAGTTTTAGACTCAACATATTGTTGTAACAGAAGAAATAAGGTTCTTGATCCCGAGATGAAGTGAAACAGATGAGTTTATTGCATGCAAGGAACAATAAAGCCGAAGTCTTGTTTCCCGCAAGAAACAACAAAACCGAAGTATTGTTCC